TGACCCACTTAGCCCTCTGAAAACCTTTCGCTTTAGGAGCGTATTATTTGGTGCTACATACAGTCCGTTCCTACTTCAAGCGACGATAAATGCACACCTTAAATGTACGGGAAGTCCTTTGAGTAAAGTAATGAGCAAACAATTTTATGTGGACAATTCCTGGGTGGTGACGTCAACTGAAGAGGAACTGTTAATGACTTATGGAGAGGCTAATAAAATAATGCAAAGTGCAAATATGCCCCTGAGAGAATGGAATAGTAATTCGTCCAAATTGAAGGACAAAATAAGTAAAGATTACCCTGGAGATGAAGTGCAAAATGTATAATGTACGGGTTTAACTTGGATACTGAGAGAGATTTGTTAATGTTAAAACCTAATAATTACAGTATGCCCAATAAATTTAACTAAGAGAGTTTTGCTTGCTGAAGTTTCTAAATGTTTTGATCCACTAGGTTTAGTGTCACCCCTTACTATAAGAGGGAAATTATTAATCCAGGAAGCATGGAAACTTAAATGTGCTTGGAATGAAATTCTACCTGAGGAATTCATTAACAGGTGGGATGAATTAATTGGTGATTATGAAAAAATTCCAATGTTGGAGCTCCCATGCCAGGTGGCCAATCCAAATGGGAAAAATGTACTCCACATTTTTTGTGATGCTTCAAAATTGGCATATGGAGCAGTTGCTTATCTTCAATGTAATAGTGTTATTTCTCTTGTTATATCTAAGGCTAAAGTGTCTCCAATTAAATCATGTACCTTACCTCAGTTGGAATTAACAGCCATTTATGTAGGTGTCAAATTAGCTAATTATATAAGAAATAAGTTGCAGGAGATAAATATTAGCGACACTGTAATTTGGTCTGATAATGAGGTATCCTTACAATGGATTCGTAATGGAAACAGTAAAATTGTGTATGTTTTAAACAGAGTCGCTGAAATTAATCAGATGCAAGAGAAGTATAATAGTTTGGGTCAGCATATGTTAACCTTTAATCATATACCTGGTGAGGAGAATCCAGCTGATTTCTTGTCTCGAGGTTTACCTCATGCTAAATTTGTAAATGCTGTATCATGGTTTAAAGGACTGAGTTGGTTGGTAAATTAAGCTAATTGGCCTGTACAAAAGGCGTATATTGCTCCTGTTGAAATTGCTGTGACCAGCTCCAATAGTTTGTCCTCCCTTAGCCATTGATATAAATAGATATTCTTCTTTACCCAAACTAATCAATGTAACTAAGTTGGTGTTTAAATTTCTAAACAAGATGAATATATCATATAAGTTTTCACATCCTCATGAATATTGGATAAAGAGGGTACAGGAGGAAATCTATGGAAATGAGATTAAATTGATGATGGAAAGAAAAATTGTGAAAGGTTCCATAATAGAGAAATTGTGGCTGTATTTAGAGAACAGTGTAATTAGGTGCAGAGGTAGGTTACAAAATGCTGAATTGAGTGATTATGCTAAACACCCTATCTTACTGCCCAAAACTCATCATCTAACAAATTTAATTGTTCTAAATACCCATAAAATTGTAATGCATGGTGGGGTACAAGATACCTTAAATTGTATAGGGAAACTTTCTGGATTCCACAAGGACGGCAAAGTGTAAAAAGGGTGATTAAATCTTGTGTAATATGTCGCCGTGTGGATGCCAGATCCTATATGTACCCAGGTCCTCCACCATTGCCAAATGAGCAATTTGAGTCGTTTAGCAACGAAATCCGCCCGGCCGCAGTGTGGAAAATACTGTATATATTTTCCAGAAATTCAGTATTTATATGTAAATAGATGGCCATACTGTATTTAATAATATTTATGTCATAGAAAACGGAAAGCCTGCATCTGGGCAGACGAGACTCGCCATGTTGGTTTTTGAATTTTGTACAAATGTTGGTGTAATGGGAAGAATTTTTCGTGCTCTAGAGGTTAAAATTGTGTTGACACCTCTCAAATAGGAGGCGAAATTGGTGGATGTGCATTCCTGCATAACTTGAGATATCAGACGACTGGACAAGACAGCTCCAGGAACCTCAGATAAGCTCTCTAGATTTGTGTATAATTCTGGCCAGCATTATTTTCATAGATATAGTTAGAGTGAGGTTTTCTGAGTATGATATACATTAATCTCCAGTCAAATTGGTGAGTGATATTAAAATATATTTTCCTTCTGTTATGTAATTGTGTATATATATAATCATTTATTATTTTTTAAATACAGTCCACAAATTTATATATTTACCAGTATTCCTGGTGTATGTATATTTCATTTAATTAATAGATCTAGAGCAACTTGTGGTTATGACAGTGGTAGGTATCGAAGGGGGACATTTTTTGCGACCTAGGTATCCCAAATTCCTACTTGTCTATGTAACATCGATAAATAATAATTATCTTTGTTATCATTTACTGTTATGTACATAATTAGTTACATTCAGATAAATGCAATTTTCCACAATTATTATTATTAATGCTTCAAAATTGTAATGTTCAAATTTCATCGTTTTAAATATTCAAATGCACTTCGGATTGTAAATTGTTTAAATTGTTCTATTGTAATACTGTAATTTTTATAAAATAATTGTAATACTGTATTTTTTTATAAAAAAAATTCAAAGCTGTAATTATTCACTACTAAACTTCTCTACTAGACCTATTAAAGCCATATAGGGTTATTTATTAATACTCAAATCTCTGTACTCACTGTAACTCACCTAATGACCATTTAATCTGTTATAGCCTAATTAATCTTAAGTTAATTTTAAGTTTGCCCGAAATGCTGTGCATACAAGGGACTTTTGGTATGTACACTCAACTATTATACTCCTTGATACAACTATGTATCATGTCAAAGTAAAATTATTATTATTATTATTATTATTATTATTATTATTATTATTATTATTATTATTAATTATTATTATTATTACCGTAGGGAGCGTTACACCCGTAGGGATTATACAGCGCCTGTGGAGGGGGGATGGAAGGAATTCAGGCTCAGGTCAGGGAACTGGATCCTAGATCCAATTCTTTAGATCAAGAGCCCCTCACCAGCATCAAGGAATCCTCTTTGAGGGACGGTTCTAAATGTTATGGTGATACCCACAAACCGTTGAAAAAAAGGACTCTTGTGTACAGTTTAGGACATTTAATAAAGGAAACGCTTCGCCGCAAGTGATTTCTTCATTGTGGTGGCGACAGAATTTCTTTTTCGGGGGAAGGGTAAAAAAAAAAGGGGGGGGGGGGAGGGCTAGGAAGCTTGTTTTGATAAATGTCCTGAACTGTACACAAGTACAAGTGTCCTTTTTTATATATCACATCAAGAATAATGACAGATTACCCCAACCGTCGTATATTTTCCTCTGTTGCCAGCGGTTTTAGCTGGTGCCCAATTAAAACTTTGGCACCAGAGGCATTAATGAGCTTACCTAAATAGAATTACAAAGGTTTCATGTTATATGCATAAAATGCTAATATATAGTGACAATATGATGATAATGACAATGCGTTTTATGAATTTCATTATGATAATTTTCGGTTTAATAAGACACGTGAGCAAATACAATGACTTTTTGCTCACACGTGTTTTTAAACCACTTGTAAGATCCATTACTATGGCTTACACCAGATGACTTTTTAACAGCCAGGGATTTTGAGAATGAAAACTTTGACCCATGCATGTCAGAATTGATAGGGAACTGTAGTAAAGAAAGCGAATGCCAGACTGAAGTTCCTGTATAGACAAGCACAGTGTCTACCTACTGAGGCTCGCAGGACCCTATGTCTAGCCCTTATACAATGCCATATGGATTACGCTTGCTCTTCATGGTACTCTGCCTTGACAAAAAACTGAGATAGACTGCAAATCACCCAGAACAAAATCGTAAGATTCATCCTGGGGCTGGGACCAAGAGAACATGTAGGCCAGGATGAATTACAGCAGTTGGATATGCTGAATGTTGAAGAGAGTAAAACAACTGAAGCTAAATCATGTTTATAAAATTGCTCACAAACAGTGTCCAGAATATCTTGCTGTCAATTTTGTCAAGGTTGGGAACCAAAGCAATCATAGTACCAGGGGGGAGAGAGCACAACTTTGTAGTACCCACAGTCATTGGACAGGCTTCAAACACCTTTAATTGTACAGCAATAAAGGAATGGAACAGACTACCCGCACATGTCAAAGCCAGTCATAGCATGAACCAGTTCAAGAAGAGTGCCAAAAGGTGTCTGATGAATGTAGCTACAGAAAGGGAGGGGAATGATTTTCTATTTTTTAGCTAACATACGTGTAAATTTTACCTTATTCCTAGTAATGACCCTCGTATTGTAGATAGTCTTAATGACCCTCGTATTGTAGATAGTCTTAATGACCCTCGTATTGTAGATAGTCTTAATGACCCTCGTATTGTAGATAGTCTTAATGACCCTCGTATTGTAGATAGTCTTAATGACCCTCGTATTGTAGATAGTCTTAATGACCCTCGTATTGTAGATAGTCTTAATGACCCTCGTATTGTAGATAGTCTTTTTAGTATGATAATAAGATGTTATCTTCATTGCAGAATAATAAGAAAATATTATAACCTTTATATTATAATAATAAGGTAAAAGGACCCCAATGGAAATAAGTCACTCTGTCTGACTTTTTTTTGGGTTATCCTAGGTTCTCTACACATATGCTGCTATGTATGATAATTCTATGTACTGTATTTGTGTATACCTGAATAAACTTACTTACTTACTAATGTCTCTCACCACCAAAAAAGTCACAATGGACCCCAGTAAAAATAAGTCACCCTGTCTGACTTTTTTTTCGGTTATCCTAGATAATTTACACATGTGTTACTATGTATAATAATTTGTGTAACTGTATTTATGTGTACCTGTGCCTAAATAAACTTACCTACTTACATTTTATTTTGTGAAATCTCATGACAAATGTAGGGGAGGCTGAGGAGGTCGCTGATTGGTGGGTTGGTGTCACGTGACCCTACGTCAGGCCAGGACATGTGTGTTTGTTGACATGAAGTTGTGGGTGTATCTCCTCACAATCACTTTTTGCAGCTTCTTAAGGTGACTCTTATATCACTCGGGTCTTCTATTGATTTATACTGGCAAGATAAGCAGTGAGTGCAGCAGTATTAACGAGGCTGAGTTGCGTAGTTTGTAGCTTTTTGGTTTCCAGCCTTGAATGGCATTTTTGGATGGAATTTTATGCACCAGTAACAAGTGCAAGCAGGACCCATCATTTATGGACACCTGCGTCAGTCTTGGTGGTGTGGATGTCTCTTCCTGCCTCACCATCTGTGATATATTACCCTCATTCTTTCCCCATGATGCTTGTCCTCACCTACTCACCCGCCTGGCACATTAAGGTTTAGGTTTCCTCTAGGAGGTTACTGTGCTGGTGAAGTGCTCTTGATCCAGTGAATTGGAATTACCCTACCATTGTATTGAAGTTCATTGCCACTGATTCAACAGGCGCTCAAGACCTCTTTGGTTTAGTTCTCCCCCATAAATTTAATACTGGTTGATGGTGCCATTTCAGTTAATTTTTTCCTCTTCCTGATATTCTGCGGGTGTGTGAGGAGAGCTGATCACTGTCAGGTGATGGTGGGGGTGTGGGAATGACATTCTACAGGGCATATGTTGGGAAGTCGTCTTAGCTTAAATGGGAATGCCTGTTGCTGGTGCTGCTTTGAACAGTGCTGCCTCCCAGCCCACAGGCAGGGCTCAACACAGTATGAACTGTTACATGTGCAGATATGAATGTTGCCTCTTCTTACACAAACGTGTCTTGCCTGTTTTTCAGTTTGCTTATTTATGGTTAGATGTAACTTTTATAATTGTGTAACCTACCTTAACCTAACCTAATATATATATATATATATATATATATATATATATATATATAATATATATATATATATATATATATATATATATATATATATATATATATAATTATATAATTATATATATAAATAAAAATAAATAATTGCAGGGAATGCTCAGGAACTGACACTGATAATTCATTAAGGATGTGAATGGTATATCTGCAAAAATAATATGTGCAAGTTTAACTTTTACCAAGACAACCAGACAACACACTACCAGATGCCAACTGATCCCAGCATTGATTGACTATGTCTTTAGAGCTTCTTTAGTAGAGAAATATTAATAAAAATAGCCTCTCTAAGGAATACTGTACACAGAAAATCATCACTGTGCAGCAGTACATTAAATGGGATGAGGCTGTTTGACTGGCAGCCAAGCATAAGCAAATCTTTAAATACATTGCATTCGTTTTTCAGTTTGGTTGTGGTTAGGATGACTCCTTTAGTTTAATGCATGGTTTTAAAACCTGTATAATAATAATAATAATAATGATTATTAATAATATTGATTAATACATATGACTAGACTTGGTTAACTATACTGTTCATTTTTATCAGTTTATGTACGCTAACTAATCTAAACTGTAGTTTTTCAATCCTGCATTGTCTAATTCACATTTTTTTGAGCTTGTGTGAATCAAGCTTCCATTGTACTCGAATGAAGAAAGCCTCAAAAAGCTGTTACAACATATACTGGGTCAAAATTGGGATATGTAGCTAGTGTTGTGGTGTGCACATTTAGAAAATTATATGGCTCGGAGAAAAGCTCAGTGAAGAGATAAAGATAAAGATGTTTATTTGGACAAATTACATGATTATACAGAGGAATATAATAGTTGGATATACATGCCAAAAGCCCCTTTGTATGCAGAGCATTTTGGGCAAACTTAGAGATTAACTTAAGATTAGTTAGGTAATAATACATAGTTCATATGGTCATTAGATGAGTTACAGTGAGTACAGTAGAACTGTATATTCTATCAGATAATGCTACATGGTTTTCTTAAGTCTAGTAGAGACTTATTACACTATTGAATTAGTTAATAAAGATTACAGTATTACAATTTAACAATTTAAAACAATTTACAATATGATGTATTACAGTTTAGTACTATTTAAAACAATGGAATTTGATATTACAATGGAATAATTTAAATTATGATGTGCTGTATTACAATTGACTACTATTTAAAACAAACTGGATTTCGTAGTTGAAATTATGAGTTAATAATGAAAGGCTAAGTACATAGTATATATCAAAGATGCCTATGCTGGTTGATAGGAGGAAAAATGAGATATTATAACACAAGGTCCTCACTGCATGGATTCATGCAGTGAGGACAGACCAGACTCTAAGTACAGCATGGCAGAGGGAGGCTGCAAATACTAGAGTGAAAAAGACCTAGGGTGAATACAAGAAAAAAGCATATTGCCAGAAATAAACAGAAGCTGCATAATATCAGTGGCATTTGCCAGATTACCTAACCTCAGATTAGCATTTAGGAACTTTAATAAAGAACCCTTCTGAGCCTTGTATGCAACATCTGTTAGGCCAGTCAGCAAATATGCATCCTCAGCATGGAGCATACCACAGGTTTGCAGCCAGGCTAGTACCAAAACTGCCAGGAATGTAATTTAAGGAGAAATTGAAAGAACTGAAATTGACTACTTTGAGAGAAAGAAAATGAGAGGCAATTATGACATAAATCTTAATGGGAATTTTAAGGGTAATTAATAGTACAGATAAGATCAAACTGAGAGGTTAGGAAGTACTATCTGTGTATATGAAGGGTGGTTGAAAAGGGGAAATGACTTGGATAAGGCAGTGGTGGAAGCAAACTCTACACACAGTACATATGATAAGGCCCAAGAGACCAGAAGTTAGTTATGCTAATCAAAGTAATAGTCTAGGAGCCAGGAGGTGAATCTCTTCCTCTATAAACATAACTCTGTACTGTACAATGCAGAGATTATACACACCCCTTATGCCACCCCTCTCCCTACTTGCCTGTCTATAGCCAGTCCTCACCAGAGTTGACTGACCTTTGTCCCGTACTGAAATCATTTGAGTTATAAAAACTAGTTGAAGAGAAGTGTTAAAGTTATGATTGCTTTGTACAGAATGCAACATGAAGACAGTAACGAGCAGATTAAGTGCAGTTTCATGTTTAAACATTAATTAATTCAAATAAAATTTCTACTTCAGTTATATTTAAACATGAATAAATACTTTACATTTTGATCTTTCTTTAACCATATAATATATTGTTTGTAAAATTTGTTATTACTGTATTTGTATGTAACTGTTTTCATTATTTCAGGTTCTTCGGTGAGACTTACTTTTCAAGTCAAAGTGAATATTTGAAGGATAGATGGGTGCATACTGTGTCCACAATTTGAAAACTTATATGATGTAGCAGCGATTGTGACACTTTAATAATAACTTAAAATAATCTCTGATATATAATGTAATATAGAAAAAATCTTAAGGTGTAATGTTGCTTAAATTTAAGTACCATCTTACATAGAAACTGTATAAAGATGAATTTTTAAATTTCTATGGTTCAGTTGTTAACAAGTAAACTCACTGGCGTTGAAGTAGAGAATCCTGTGTTTTTTTGCACAGCAGTATGAAAAAACTTATGTATTGAATATGAATAATGTACAGGAGAAATTTGCTGCAAAGCAGTACATCAACATGCATGTAATTTTACACAATGGTAATGAATATTTTCAGTGTGGAGATTGTGGGGAATTATTTGCAGAGAAAGAAAATTTGCAAGCTCATGCACTCTTGCACAGTAGTGAGAAAAGGAACTTGTGCAATTTGTGTGGGAAGCAGTTCACACGTAAAAGTGATTTAAGTAGACATCATCTAATTCACAGTGGTGAAAAAAAATGCAAATGCAATGAATGTGGGAAACTTTTTACACGTACAAGTGATTTAAACCGGCATATACTAATGCACACTGGCGAGAAAAAGCACTTGTGCAATGAATGTGGCAAACGATTCACCCGCAAAAGTGACCTCAACAGGCACTTTTTGGTACATAACAGTGACAAAAGGTGTGAATGTGAAGAATGTGGAAAGTTTTTCACTCAAGAGGAAAGCTTGAAAATACATATGCTTGTGCATAGTGAATCAAAAACATTCCAGTGTGAAGAATGTGGAGAATTATTTAGAGACAGTAATAGCCTGAAAGTACATAAATTTTTGCATACTGGGGAAAAGCCTCACAAATGCAGTGAGTGTGAGAAACAATTCACTCGTAAGAGTGACCTGAACAGACATGCATTAATTCACAGTGGAGAGAAAAAATACAAATGTAGTGAGTGTGAAAAGCAGTTTATTTTCAAAAATGAACTTAACAGCCACATGCTTGTACATTGCGCAGAGAGAGATTACAAGTGTGAGGAGTGCAGTAAACGCTTCGTTTGTAATTCCAAGTTAAAGAGGCATATGCTTGTTCACACAGGTGAAAGGAATTACCAGTGCGAGGTATGTGAGAAGCGATTCAATTGTAATTCAAAACTTAAGCGTCACATGCTGATCCACAGTGGAGAAAAAAACTACAAGTGTGAGCAGTGTGGTAAACGGTTCAGCTGTAATTCCAAACTCAAGAGGCACGTGTTTGTGCACAAAGGAGAAAAGGCATATAAACCAAGAGGAAAAAAATTTTGTGATAACTTTTCTCCTAGCTGTTCCTTCATAATGCCTCAAGCAGTCAGTGATGTATTTGTAATGGCAGAGCCAGTTAACACACAAGTTTTTGTGAAGGAAGAAAAATTAGATGATTGCGTGTTTGTAAACAAAATGGAATTCCATTAGCAGTAGTGTTATTTTAAACTAAAAAAATGTATACTTTATACTAGTAGGGGTTATAGCAGGAATAAAATATATGTGACAGATTTGCTATTAAATATATTTAAAGATACTGCAATTTATTTTATAAATGAAACCACTTTTTTTTTTAATTGTTTATAATCCTTTTAATTTAGTTGTTAACGGGAACTGACATAAGGTATTTTATTGCCCCACATTAGTGTATTGACCTTATCAACCTTGACATGAATTACTAAATTCATGACTACCTGAAGCTTTGCTCCATTCATAATTAATTACAGGCAACCCCCACACACAACCTCGTTGGTTTTGTGAAAGTTATTAGAAGTCAGACTGTTATTTCCCATAGACACAGTGCTATAAATGGGAGGTTTTGTTTCTGAGATTTATTTTTATTTGCTTTGTTTTTTGTTTTTTTTGAGAGCCAGGGGAAAAATGATTGTAAATGTGGGCCTTGCAAAGGAGCTTCCTTTATGCTGGTGAGGCACTCTTGAACCAAGGAATTGAACTTGGCAGACTTGGCCTCCCCTTAATTGGATTCAGCCTGATTGCCTTTACGGGTTTAGTGTATCCCCTTAAATATAATACAGTGTGAATGTGGGATGTGAGTACTGTTGGGCAGTGGGAAGCCGGGGGAGCTGTCAGCATGTCACAGTAAAAGAAATGTTGAAAGAATAGTACATTTCTGTTATGGTAGCTGGAACTCGACTGCATTATCCTCAGACCAATGTAATAGTATTCATGAATTGTGAAATTTTTAAATGCTTTGTTTTAGTGGTAAATATGATCAGTACATTAATTAAATTTTTGAAAGTTACCTCACAGTTTAGTAGATTCACTGAAGATATTGAAGCTAGATGGTGGTGGAATACCATCCTCAGTGTGAAATCCCTGTTAAGAAACTGGAAGAATTTTAGATTACAGTACATACTGTGGTCCTACGTCGTTTCTTTGTCTCCATTGTAGCTTAATAGTGTGGTTGGTATATCATTAAACACTTAATGCTGGTTTTATATTATCTAATAATATTTACAGTTTTCTTCTAGTAAGGCCCATTCATTGAGATGGCTCCATTTAGAGTTTTAATATTTTTCATGCCACAAACATCTCCACATTTTTAAAATGTTAACAATTTTGTAAAAAGTACAGTGGAACCTCAAATTTCGAACATATCGCTTATCGAACTCTTCGAAAATAGAACCCTTTTTTCGAATCAACTTTGTCCCTATTATCGAACTCGCCCCTATTTTTGAACTGCCGGGTACCGGACCTGTCCGGCAGCTCGCTCTGCCTGTGTTCCCACGCAGGTGCCATGAGCCAGTCTGGTTTTGTTGATGCTTAAGTGAACACTAACCTGTGCTCTCATTCAAACATTTTACAATTACAGTACTTGTGTTTAGTGCTTGTGGGACTGTGAAATAAGCTACAATAGGCCCAAAGAAACTTGCTAGTGGTACCCCTGTGGTAAAGAAAGTGAGGAACACCATAGATGTGAAGGAATTAATACAGAAGTGGAATGATGTCCAAATGTTTGTGGAGAAGTACCACCCTGAGCAAGCTGAAACAAGCCATCTTTGCAACAAGTTCAGTGACAGAACCATGTCCCATTTTAGGGAAATCTTAGAGGCACCAGAAACAGAGGACTGTGGACAGTTATTCTGCGAGACAGGGGTCCAGTGACTCTCAAGCTGGTCCTAGTGGCATTAAAAGACAGAAGGGAAGTAACCCCAGAGAGGGCTTTCATACCTGAAGTCCTCATGGAGGGGGATTCTCCTTCCAAACACTAACCCCAACTCCCTCTCTCCTCCTCCCTATCTTCCAGATGCCATCACCAATCTTCAATAAAGGTAAGTAAAATTTTATTTTATGTGTTTATTTAAATTTATTAATACATAATTGAACACTATATTTGTTGCATGTATGTAAAACTATAATTAAACTCTAAAATGTATTTTTTGTGAATATTTTTGAGTTTCTGGAACAAATTAATTTCCAATATTTCTTATGGGAAATATTGCTTCGCTTTTCAGACTTTTCGAATTTAGAACTAACTCCTGGAACGGATTAAGTTCGATATTTGAGGTTCCACTGTATGAAATATTAAATAAAGAAAAACATCTCTTCACTTAGTTTTTGTACAAGTAGGGCATTTTCTGCTTGCTTTTTCTGGAGATATTACTGAAAATGAGTTCTCAGAATCAGTATATTCATATAATGTGTATGTAAGGCAACAGGAGAGATACTGTACAAGAATGTCAAAAATAGTTTACACTGGGAAGAATGTGTACAGTTACTGTGTAAGTGGTAAACCAGCAGGTGTTACTAGCAGTGCCTTTATTACCATGTATCTATTGTATGACCATACTTAACATTTTCAGATAAGGGTAATTCTGTATTCTATATCAACTTTAAAATTCAAGCTTGAATGCTCATCTGTTTCAGTTGAAGCTGAATATATAGCATGTTCTGAGTTTTAACATAGTAAGTCTTAGTTCATTGTGTGTCTTGGTCAGTACTGTACAGCAAATACATATTGGCAAACCTCTTTTAACATTGTGGGCCAGTTTCAAAAAGGTTACTTTAAAAGGGACAAATTAAAGATTATGGTTCCAGGCAATAATGTTAATGCTAAAGCTTAAGATAAATGTTATCTTCTACACAGTCAGTACTAGTACAGTGTATAATACCTGTGCATATAATACTGTGTATATGTTGATGCTGCATATCAAGACTGAGGAAATGCCATGGAGTTTGTATTTTTGAGGATACGAGCAACTGTGTTAAAGGAGGTACTTTTATGTACAGGTATATAGAGGTGTGGATAATACATTATTTTGATTTCAAAGAGGTTGCTTATAAAGGGACTATTTATATCAAGGCTTGACTGTAGTGCATCATTTCTGTTTGAGTTACTTGATTAGTTTTTAGACATGTTAACATAGTACATTTTACAATGGTGAAATATTAATTCACCATGCTACCTGAACAAAGACTTTATGGACAAACAGGTCTAGATAATTTTTAATGCATATTATTTAAGATATTTATATGCAAAGAGTATATGTATGATATAGTAGTTCTAGCAGTTTGCAAACATTACAAACATTTTTGCATTTAAAAATGCAGGACTGATTTACGATATTTAATCAACTTGTAAAGAGATTTACTGTCTGAGATTACCTGTTAAGGTAGTTAAGCAAGTGTAGAGAAAAACTATGCACTGAATAATAAGCATTTTGCAGCATTTCAATGTAATGGTGCATACTATACATTCATTGTTCAAAATGTTATACTACATCTTGTATGTTAACCTGCACTAGTATATTAGAAGAACTGCTCTGTTACTAGATTTTCTTGTATTAGATGCAACTAGTTAATACCTCCCATTTAATTAACCTTGGTAAAGTATATAATAAATAAATGTCATAACAATAATGTTGTTTCATCAGATATATTTTGTTGTCCTTACAGCACTTAAATATTCGTTTTAAATAAAAAAGTCATGTTATATATGTCTTTGTGGAAAGGAAAGTCAAAAATACCGTGCAGTTTGTCTGGTAGCTGGTAGAGGTAAATTAGGAAAAATACATGTATCAAGTTTTAGACCTACACATATTATAAGAAGAACATGTCTAGAATCTAGGTATAACATCATCATCCTGCTCCCTTTTATCTCAATATTATTGCCTTCTCTTGATAAAATTTTGATGGCACTGTACAGGTGACCTCGTGCTTAATGACAGCTGTGCTGAACTTTGAGTATTAACACATTATTGTGGAAAATAAGACTGAACACATTGTGAACTACACTGATCACATACTGTGAATTTGTTGTGCAGAATTACAGATAGAAATGAAATATTACACATACAGCAAAATTATCATACTGTGAACCCACATAAAGTGAGGAGAAGCCTGTTCTTTCAAATTCTCTTCGACATTTACTCTCCAGATATTTACTGTTCATATTACAGTACAAATCTAGGCCAATATAAATTACGATCTTTCTCATTTTATGCAGTGGATGTGCCCATGACTTATCGTGCATAAACTGAATTAAATATAACGTTATATGTAAACCAGTGATTCAGTCCGAAAAAAAAAATTAAATTAAAAATTCTATCATCTCCCTTTTACCCGCCATCCTTCCTCCACCACCAACCAAAAAGCATCTTTGTCTGGACTGAACTGTACAGGTGCATACATACATATCTTCTTGCTACCATTTCCTCACTCCCACCACCCCGAGTCCACCTGATTTTGTGTTGTGCAATCTGATTGTTTGGCTAGGTATTCATTTTCATTTGGCTTGCCACAAGACACTTAAATTGAAGATCAGTCATAGGATTTTGTTCAAAATGTGCATATTGACTTTAATATACTCAAATCCGATTTACTTTTCGCTCCATTCTTTCTTATGAATGTCAGTATAAACCAGTTTAAAGTGATATTTAACAATATATTAAAACTCGAGTGTTTCTGGAGGGCTTGGGTTCTGTAGGAAAAACTTTGAAAAACTTACAGGAGGGCCTCAGTATACAGTGCATTCTTCATTTATTCAAGCTTATTACAATAAATATATTCACCACTCATTATAAGCTAAGAATGAAAACATTTTCAGGTAAGTAATGTGTGTACTGGATACGCATTTTTTAGGCCTAAATGTATTGCTCACTTAATATAGGATAGTGTAAACATGTTATCAGGCTTTTATATGCATTTGAAAGTGACAAAAGGCTATGTTTCACTTTCAGCAGTAGCCAGGAACCTAACCTACTGTATAAATGGGACCCACCTGTATGTGGTAACTACGATGGTTATGGGTGTTAAGGTGTATGGTGCAGGCATTGTTAAAACTGTCCCTTGAGCAAGTGTTATGTTTATTATTGCATTGAGATTTCTGAATGTTTTCCCTTCATATACTAATTGCTCACATACCTCACATGGGATGGTGTAAATACCAATGTTAGATTCTCTGTATTGCATATTCCTCTGTTTAGGGTCGTAATAGTGCTGGAAGTCATGCTGGTTATGTAGGTCTTTCTGTTAGCAATAAGGTTATAGACATTCTCAGAAACCTGTCTAGCTGGAAGAAGAATTACCTGGCAGGAGTCTGCCTCTGTCAAGTGGTGCGGAAGATCTTTAGCCTGCAATTCTTAATGAAATGTGCCGGTGCTATAGTTTTTCTTTGAGGAAGGAAGGGCTTGATTTTCTATAAACTTTCTAATAAAAACATACGATGATGATTTTTGGTATATGTGTCATGGTGTGAGGTAATGCAGATGATGATCCTCGTTCTCATCCAAACAGAGTAATCCAAGGACATTTATTAGAGTTACCCAGCATTTTCACTCCAGAGTTGTTTGCCATACTT